CGAATTTTCATCAAATGCGTCTCCGGGGAGCATCATCCGTTAACTTAATATTTTGCTAATCCTTAAGCAAAACAAATAACTAAATGCAATAACCTAAACATGAAAACATTTAACTAGAGTTCAATTGCACCATTTCATCAATTACCTTTAATACCATCAAAAGTTCCATATTCATAACTCTAATCTATATACAAATATTATTTAAGTTAATGTCTCAATTCAAATGCAAGCTTCTCATTAATTGAACTTCCATGTGTGTGTGTGTGTGTGTGTGTGTGTGTGCAATCTATCACCTACACATTGAACAATCCAGATAAGTTTATAATCATGCAAAAATCAAATTAAGAATTAAATTTCATAAGTTTATTTTTCATCTCTCTCTCCAATAATATAGACTAATAGTAAATCAAAGGTCAATAAGATTTTAATTAGCTTGTAATGTATGGATATGGTTAAGGTAGGATATGGGCTAATAAATAGCTCAAATCACCCTAAGCACATAGTTAATCTAGGACCTACTTAGAGCTTTGTTTTCCTTCATCTAGTACATGCTTTTTTCATCAACCTTTTTTCTTTTTTTCAATGCTTCATTCTTTCTTTCTCTTTCTTTTTCTCAATTTCTCACTTCCAAACTTATTTCTTTTATTGAGTAGTGAGATGAGTACAATCATATTTTGAACTTTTCTTCACTTTTCATTTTTGCTACCTTTTTCACTATTTAGCTCATAACATTCATAAATTGACTTATGTCCTTATGAATGAGGGATGCAAAAATTATTGAAAATATTAATATAAGGGTCTAGGTTAAAAATTAAGTGTTCAAACAGAAAAGGGTATCATGAAGCTCAAAGGGGAAACCTAACGAAACTTTATATAAAGGAAGGCTAAGAAAAAGCTCAATCGGTCCAAAAATAGCCTAAATTATTTCCTTAACTACGTGTAGTCTAAAATTTCACCTCGAGAGAGAATCAAACAATTTTAGAATTTAATACATAATTCAAAATTTTCACATTCACATAAAATCTTCTCTAAATTCGTACAATGAATCTAAGCAACAGACATGGTGCTCAAAATGTAAAAATTTCATTTTAATAATAAAGCTTAATATAAGAATTTATATAACACTCAAACAATATTCACATGTTTAAAAAATCAAATTGGAAATGAAACTAAGTTCTTATCATTGGATAGGTAAATTAAATGAAACTAACACAATTAAATCTAGTTCAAATGCAAATGCACATGCATAAAAAAAAATTTAACGAAAATAGACTAACTTAAAATATCATAAAAACAAATAACAATAAAAAATATCATAAAAACTACAAATAATAAAACCCTTCCCCAAACTTAAATTGCACATCGTCCTCAATGTGAAAAGCTAAAAAGAATAAGAAAAAGAAACTCCCCTATCAATGGTAACAGTGTGTTGAAAGCTCTAATTATTTTTCCTCCTTATCTTCATGCTTTCCAAACCTGCAGACTCAACAAACAAGCGATGGAGAGGTTATAAGTACTTATTTAAACAAAAAAAAAACAAAAACTAACAAAAATAACTACTAAACTTAAAAAAATATAACTTGGGTTACCTTCAAGAAGTGTTTCTTTATAGTCACTAGCTTGACTATGATATCCCATTTTTGTTATCTACTAAAGTACTTAGGGATATTCGGTCATTCAATTCACCTCCAAAGTAATGCTGGAGACATTGCTTATTCACTTCGAATGTTCTAGTAGCTTAACTGCAAATATCAACTACAACACACTAATAAACCTTAACCATCTTGTACGGACTTAATCGCTTTGATTTTTGTTTCCATGGAAAGAGCTTGACTGATTTGGTCAATAACACTTATTGTCTTACCTTAAAATCAAGATTAATTGAGGGTGGTGGATCATGCTCATCATAACACTATTTAGTTTTAAGCTGTGAGGATGGTGGCTCTAATTCAAGAATTGATGCTTGCTTACTTGTAAGATGTGGAGTAGGATTACCTTGACCTTTATCAGCTAAGTTCACTCTATAGCAATGAGTTATGGTTGAAAGACTTTTAGTTGCATTAAAATAATAAATTCAACTACCTCCTTTCCAACTCGAAAAGTTATTCTGCTTTCCCTTGTATCTATTTGTGCACCTACATTGGCTAAGAATGGACATCATAGTATGATCGAAACACTTTGATCCTCCTCCATCTAAAGTACTATGGAGTTTACTAGAATGAACAACTTCCCAACTTTAAGCAAGACATCCTCTATCACCCCATAAGGGTGTTTACATTTTGTTAACTAGTTGCAAGGTGACTGTAGTGGGTTAAATCTCCTTCAGTCCAATTCTCCTAGTAACAGATAAAGGTATAATTGAGACACCAAAACCTAAATCACACAAAGCTTTTAAAATATTAAAATTACCAATTGAGTAAGGGATAAAAAACTCCTTAGGTCCTTGTACCCAAGGAATAGCATAATCCCTTAAGAAATAATTATGAGCTACTACACTCTTTTCGATTTGCTGTTCACCTTGTTGATTAGCTATTGTATTTACTATAGCAACATTTTGTTGATTCTCTCGTCGAAGTCTACAAAATGTTCTTTCAATTTCTAGATCACACGGAATACTCTCTGAGTTGTTTGCTATTTTCATACAATAATTGAACACAACTACAAAACAAAAATAAACTTAAATTAGACTAATCTGTAAAATTTTAATATTAGAAAATAACAAAGAAACACAATTTACTGCAACGACACTAAAAACTTGTTATCGATTTTGCACATTCAAGAATACATATCGAACAAGTAATACAGTGGTAAACTAGAGCATCGTTCCCATAGAGATTTGTTCTTAAATCTTTACTAAGTATTAAAATTTATGATAAATTAATTTTAGTTAAGTAACTAAAATTTTTAAAAAATTAATTAAAATAAAATTAAAACAAGTACTAAGTAACTAATTGAAATTAAAATTACTTGGAAAGGGCAATAGACTAAAACCTTAGATTATGGGTTCATTCAACACTTCATTTAATACCGGTTTCTCTTATTATTTACATTCATGATGGTTTTATTAACCTAAAATCCAAAGTTATGTACAAGTCTTTGTCGATATGCTTGCAGTGGTATCACTTACAACGCCTCGGGCACGAGTCTTTGGTACCATGATGCTCTAGTCATGCTGTTTTTAGTGTACACCTGTATCTGTCCACCAACTTTGAACCTGATTTTCACCTCAATCTACTCCGAACTGGGCCAAGGGGTAAACACAAAACTTGTAGCCCATTCCCTTATCTTTCAAATGAATTAAAATCACCTCAATTGGAGTTCTACAGCTCAAGTTATCTTCAAATTACTGTAACATGTACGAGTGACACTTTCTCCTCACTCATGCTATCATATCTTTGTTTCAACTTGCACATTATATTCTGCATAAAACCATAAGAAAAATTGACAATAACTTTTTCTTAAAATAAATTGAGATAAATTAAAGTGAAATTAAACTAACAATAACTAATTTAACTAATTAATATAAAATCTAACTAACGCTAGAAAAATAGATTAAAAAAATTAAAATCTGATCCTAAACTCAAGTGTTTAGCAATTAAAATTACCAAAATGTGCTCAAAATAACTCTATATAATAGAGTTATCAATAAGCAATTGATGACTTGTGATTCTAGGTTCTGGGTCTACCTTTACCATGTGGTTTTGTCAACTAACTAGGACATATTTCATGTGGATAAAAAAAGCACAAAATATTGAGTCTAAAGACAGTCAGATTTCTTTTAAATTAAAAATTTGTTCGATTTAAAATAAAAATTTAAAAACTTGTTTGAATGTAATAAAAAGTGAGAGCTTTAATTATATAAACGGATATAATACATGAGCTTTATTAGGGTTTATGTAATTGTTTTTCCTCTTCATTTTTGTCAGGACAAAAAAAAGTAAAATCTTGCTATTTAGATTGATATATTTTGACCACCTTGTAATGATTTTCAATTTTTTTTCACTCAAAAGAAATTAAACATTGATATATTTTGTCCCAACAATTTGTACTGTTGGACTTGAAAAAGGGGTATGGTGGATGCATTAATAATTTTTATTCCAAAATCAAGTGGTGTTAACAATCCAAAATTTAGTATTTATCACATAAAAAAAAAGTTTGACACTTTTCATTTTGTTTAAAGAATTTAATTGATTAAAAGTGTTTGCAAGTGAAGGCAAGAACAAACATTACAAGACAAAGATTTGAAGACAAAGTTTGGAACTTTCCATCCCTATACAGTGGTATAATCACGGAAACAGGTTAACATTAAGTTGCTTAGGTTTGGAACAATTTAACTATGTAAATGGACAAAGTTTGGAACTCAAATATCATAATTTTTTTTTAACCTTTTTATTATGAAAACTTATCATTTGTGAGGTTGTCTTGTCCCAATAGAACATCAATTATAATACGTTAACTTGTATTCGAATATCTGGGCAAAAGATATTGTCAAATAAGGAGTTCGGTTGGAGCGGCACATTTAAATTTTTTAAAAATAATTTATATTTAAATATGTTCGGATCTTTTGATTTATTAATGGACGTATGATTTAATTTTTTTTAAATTTTAAAAAATATATATTAAAATATCTTTTTGATCAATTAAAAAAAATTTATATTCAAATTTTGTGATAAAAGATGAGATTTATGAAATATTACAGATATTATAATCAAAGATTTTATTAGAATTTTATATGGAAAATAAAGAAAATAGAATTTAGACAAGAAAAGAGATGAAGATTAAGAAGGGTGGCCATATATATATATATATTTACTTATAAGAGTAGGACTGAATCAGAATACAGAAGTGAGAAAGTCTTGAAGAAGGAAAAAAAAAAAAACCATGGTTCCTAACAGTAATACTGCAAGAGTCCTAGTAAAAGAGTAGGAAGAGAACAAGTACGGTGTTTGACCATTTCCACTACTCTTTTATTTCTCTTTTTTCTTTCTATGTAAATGTAAAGAGTAAAGAGTAGAGTGTGTTTTCTTTGTGGGTTTTGTTTGTTTGGCAGTGACACACAAGAGAGAAGCTGTCAAGCTGCCCTGACTGACACCCCCTCTGAGAAGTCTTCTCTCTTCTTCTCTCTCTCACTGTAACTTCCTCACAAAAAATTATAAAAGAAAACTTTCTTTTATTCTCTTGTTTTTGCTGTTGTTCCTGATCTCTTCTTCTTAAAATCAACATCATTTTTTTTTTAAATAAGTCCGTTTCTTTTCTTTCTTTCCTCTTTGTAAAGTTGGTCTGTGTTAGAAAACAACAGAACCCCGCATCTCTTATAATCTTGCTCTCTTCTCAGATCCAACCCTTTTCTCTATCTCTCCAACTGGTAAGCTTATCTTTTCATTTTTTTTAAGATTTTAAATTACTTTTTTTTTGTTATATTGAGCAGTTTTTTGATCTCAAAATTTTGATTTTTTTTCCTTTTGCTAATTGGGTATTTGCCTGCTTTCTGGGTTTTCTTCATTTTAGTCAGCATAGTCAAATTCTTTTGCTTGTTTTGTTCCTGATTTGTCTTTTGCCTATTTCTGGAGATGCTCTGAGCTGGGTTTTTGTTTATTTCTTGCTGCTTCATTTGGAATTTGGATTCATGGACTTGCTTGTTTTCTTTCTGTTTTACAGTTTGGTGAAGCTTGGTGTTGATGGATTGGAGCTTCAATATGAATCAAATTTGGTACTGCGAATGCTTTGCTGGGACTTGGGTTTATATCTCTAGGTTTAGACTGGTATGATTCAAAAAATTAGCTAGGGACCCCCTCAGTCTTGTGAGAAGTTAGGAGCTTTTAATTAGCTTTTGTGATTGTTTTGATTAAAGAAGGAAACAGTCGCTGTTCTTGTACATATTAGAGCTTCTTGGCTTTTTTATGGCTAATTTCAATCAACACTGAAGTATAAAATTCGCGGTGATTGACACAAATGGGTGGGCTTTGCTCGAGGAGATCCACTGTAGATAATGCTCCCGGTGGAGGCTTTCCACATGTTAATGGCCATTTTGGTCGAAGGTCTGGATTGGTTTTTCAGACCCGTGAACTACCCGCGAAGATAAACACCAATTCAACTCCCCCTCCCGCCGAGGATAATGCAGATAATGCAGACAAGGAGTCAAGCGAACCCTTTTCCTTTCCAGAGATTAGTACAGTTCCATATGATACGACTTCTGATGATATTAATGATGGAATTCCTCATTTGACAAGGGCACTATCAAATAAATGTAGATCAGCCAAGTCTAAGCAGGCTGCTGTTGCAAAGGTAAGTTCAAATTCTACTGTGTTCCTTTTTCAAAGTTTTGTCCCAATTTTCTGTTTTGTCCAGGTGCTTATGTTCTATTTGCACTAGAATTTTCTCTTAAGTTGGTTTTATAATGCATGAGAGGGTTTAGAGATGCTGGATTAGGGTTTGGTTGTTCTTGTCTGCAGTACCATTTACAGTCACAGATTATTTGCTTGGAGGGAAACTGATGCAGAAGGTGTAGGGAGATCGCAAAAGGATGTAAAGATTTGTGTTTATGAGTACCTGACAGTTAAATACTGTGATCACCAACAAACACAATATTTGCACAGCTTTCATATAGTGTATGAAATGGAAACAGTCTTTCTTTAGGCTACAAAACTTAGTCTTTGACGTACTTATAGAAACATAAAATTACTTCGGGGGATTCATGACTGACACAATTCTTTGTGGTTTTTGTTGAAGTGGCACAAGTATCCATTATTGCCATATGGAATTATGATGCATATGTGTGGAAAATATAATGGATTAGTTGGAGTCCAAACTTGAGCATCAGAGATTTAAAGTTGAGTCTAGACTAGAGAAATTCTATTGTAAGATATTGCCTTGATTATTATGTAGTTTGCAAAATCTGATGTTGTGGTTGGATTGGGGTGCAGGTGTGAGTTTTTTTATCTTCACCATATTCTTTGTAAACTCATGTTTTAAATGGGAATAATAATACATGACTTAGCTGGAAACATTTGTCTTTTGGTACTGGAATAACAATGTATGGATGGGAATAATAGTATATGATTTGAGCTGGGAAAAAATGTCTTTTGCTGCTGGATTAACAATGTAGGAATTAACATTGGTTCCAGGAATGAGTTTTTACTTCATCAAATGTAGAAGTTTCTCATTCCTTTGATTCAACTCCTGATGTAGAGCTTTATGTTCTGACGATAAGAGCATCCAAGAACTTTAAACTGCTTTAGCCAAACTTAACCACCAGGGGGGGGTGGGGTGGGGGTTAGATATTGAAGTAATTTCAAGTGGCTTTATGATGATTTTAATGAAACAATCTCAGCCTAGGTTGCAACTCGGGACATGCTGCAAATTTTAATGCTATTATATTTTTTTTCTTATTCATTAGTAACTGTTGTTTTTGTTATGGTTGCCATATTGATGCCTGATGTTTCTCAAAGAAGCTAAATTGTTTATACCTACATACATAGACTCACTCTATAATTAAACCTACTATATCAAGACCATATTATAACTTTTCTTTTTTGGGGGTACATTTTATTTATTATCACTTCATGGTTTCCCTGATGAAATTATCGTTGACTGTTTGATGTGGTGAAACTCATCATGTTTCAGTCATACAGGCTTCAACTTATGCTTCTCTCCTTTACCGTGGATTGTATATTGAGATCTGTTTGCTAAATGTTGCATTTTAGTGGAGCTACATTACCTTAAAATTCTGAAACAGATGGCCATAGGGTGTAACACCATGAAAATTTTTGTGTTTCATGATAAAAGTCAAGCCTTTTTGACAAATGCCTTAAGGGGCTATTCAGATATCTTTCTTGTATATAGGCTCTCACCATAATTTTTTCTTTTTGAAAAGCAACTCACCATCATTAGGGTTGCCATTTTACAAATCTAGATCTATGATTGGTTTTAATGGATTTGGGGAACAAAATTAAAATGAATTTATATATATTCTGAAGTATCCACTAGAACTGTTAAAATTGATAACTAAGAAAATCTTTTGCTATACCATTCAACAGTCCAGAGTATGACCATGGTCATGTGATAACGTCCATTATATTTCTTAAATATGTGTAGAATGGATGGATTCTTTTATGCTTAATGATAGATGTGTCTAAGCTCTTTTTATTTGCTAGAATTGAGATTGAGAATTTTATTGTTAGCTGGGAATGGATAGGCAATGTGGAAGAAACTATCAGAAACATAGAAGGTTGTACCTGAACCATGAGAAATATTTTGTCTTATATGAACAAATTTGCTGCTTTTTCTTAATTCATTTCGGCAGGGAGAGAAGTGAGGTTGATTATTGTGCTAATTTTGTAATGTTGTGGATTCTAGCATTTTAATTACTCATTGAGAGCTCCCTACTGAGATTAGTGCAGAGAAGGATGCTTCTGGTTCTACTATTATTGATTTTTGTTGTTAGGTTGCAACAAACTTCATCCACTGAACATGCTTAACAATTATTTAATAGATCAATTGGTTGCTTTATTTTTGCAGGTTTCTGAGGTCAGCTCTCGTTTAGGCAGAGCTGGTACTGCTGGGCTTGGAAAGGCTGTGGAAGTGTTGGACACCCTTGGTAGTAGCATGACGAATTTGAATCTCGGCAGTGGGTTTACCTCAGGGGTAACGACAAAAGGGAATAAAATATCAATTCTAGCTTTTGAAGTTGCAAATACAATTGTTAAAGGTGCCAATCTGATGCAATCGCTTTCAATGGAGAATATTAAACATTTAAAAGAGGTGGTCCTTCTGTCAGAAGGAGTGCAAAATTTAATCTCAAGAGATATGGATGAACTCCTGAGAATTGCAGCTGCTGATAAGAGGTGGACAATGAAGAAAATGCCATATTGCTTTGAAAATGATTCTGTTGTTATACAATTTGTTAATATGCTAAAATGGTGGTCACATTCTCAGAGAATATGAGAGAGTGTTAATTTTTATTTTTGTTATCCAACTTCAACAGGGAAGAGTTAAAAGTTTTTTCTGGAGAGGTGGTACGTTTTGGCAATCATTGTAAAGATCCTCAGTGGCACAATTTAGATCGTTATTTTGAGAAGTAACTTTACTGCCTCTTACACTTTAATTGTTCTTTATGAAATTAGAGTAAGATTCTAATATTCTCTCCTGCACTATCTTTTATAAATTTTAGGTTGGGTTCAGAACTGACACCTGAAAAACAGTTGAAGGAAGAAGCAGAGGCAATAATGCAACAGTTGATGACTTTTGTTCAGTATACAGCTGTAAGTATCAAGCCTAACTGTCAAAATGAGAAAGCTGCTCTCAAAAGTTGCAGTCTAAGATTGTATTGTTTAAACCAATATGAATCCTATATCTTAGATCTTGTACTAAGTTGTAGAGAAAAGAATTTTTTCCCCCCTTGTTTTGGAGACATTGAATGAACTATGTACCATGTGGCAGATTGATTGACCTTGGGTTTAATTTCGTTCTTTTTTCTTCTGAATATGTGCTGGTGGGTTAATATCATAATTGCAAAGCTTGTTATAATTAATAGGGTACAGTTCAGAATTTTTTTCTTCTGAAATTATCTATTTGAAATTTGTGAAGTTATGTTGATGCCATTTTGTTCTACTGCAGTGGACCATGCGTATGCATCTTGTAGAGTAAGATCTTTGTTGATAATGATGTATCAAAATTAAATACCTTGACCTTACTAGACAAATGACTGGAAGTGTAGAAATGAAATGATGTTATCAGATGCTGTGTGTTATACTTTGATGTTTATTATGTTTTTCTTATTATTTCCAACTAGTAGATATGTTCAACATCAAGCTGTAACCTTCCTCATTATTTGGAAAATTATTAACATTTGGCTGATGCCCATCACATTTTGAATAGTGGCTTTATGAAAAGTCTTCCAAAATATGGCTGGCAGCTGATTTATTACTGATGAGGTGCTAGAATAAGTTGTGGGAGAAGCCTTATGTGCTTTTAATTTTATTCTTGTCCTAGGCATCCATATTGGAAAACTTGCTACCTATTCTAATTTTTTCTTGATTCATGGCTTTGTTGCATATCTTTATAAGAGAGATTTGCCAATGACACTTGCTAATTTCCATTGGCTTGAGGGTGGCCCCCCTACATCTCCTCATAATCATAAATTCTTGATTTTGCTCCCCCATTTTGCATCCACTTTTGATATTCTGTACTTCACTGCTTTTCTTCTTATTGCCTATATTGGATAATTTATAGTAGTTTAGAGGAATTTTGACCACAAAACCTTGGTGTAGATGACAAACTGTAAAGTGTAATCTATGATGGTTTCAATCTATATCCAATAAGGCTTGATTTTCATGCTTGTACAGGGGAATGAATTTGCTGCATGTTTGACCTTGGAACTTAGAAGGACCAAGTGCTTCTTTATCTTTGCATTTTACAGCAGTTCTTTCCCTTATAGCAGTTTTGCCTCTTTAAAATTACCTTGACAATGGCATATCACCACTTTCTTTTGATTTCTTTAAAGTCTGAAAGAAATCCAGATTTGTCCTTTTAATTGTCTGTTGCATTTTATCTGCTCTTTTAATGTATCAATCAAGTAGGTATGACATGGAACTCTAGCCTTCCTGTGCCGTTAAGTTGAAAAACTGACTCATTGATGGGCTAGTGAGGAGTGATTTGGCGAACTGTGAAAGTTGAAAACTGTAAGTGCAACTGCGTATGGGTGTTTTCTGCCAGAGAAAGTCCCCTGTGGGCTTGTTTGGACATTGATAGTTTAACAGTGATTTTTCTCTAAGGAAGTAAACAGCAGCTGCAGATGCTAATGGCTGAGAGTACACCTTTTAGATTAGCTGAGATTGCAGAAAATTTTCATACTTTTTGACTTTCATGTCCTGATGCATATCTTATAAAAGAAGGCATATGAACAACGGCACAATTTGTCGATTCTGTATTTAAAACCAACATGTCATCTCTAATCATTTAAGGAGAGAACTGTTTTCTTTGCAGGAATTATATCATGAGTTGCATGCCTTGGACAGATTTGAACAAGATTATCGACGTAAGCTTCAGGAAGAGGATAACTCAAATGCTGCTCAAAGAGGTAACCTGTTGTATGGATCTCTATTAGAATTGCTATTTTTTGTGGCATAGTTACTTCTAGATTAGCAAGGCGTTTCTAATTTTTATTTCTAGATTAAAGCGGTGAAGTGTATGGAACCCTAAAAACTGCACCTTGGTAATGTTATGGAATATAGCTAATTTCATGTAAGTTCCTTTGATATTATTATTTTAATTTTGGCATGTAGGAGACAGCCTTGCAATATTGAGAGCAGAGTTAAAGAGTCAAAAGAAGCATGTGAGAAGTCTGAAGAAAAAATCTCTTTGGTCTAAAATTTTGGAAGAGGTATGAGTTAGTAAAGCTATATGCATTTTCATTTTAGTGTTTTAAGACGAACTCCTAGATAAATTTTATTGATGTTCATTCTTTTTTCTTTTGAAGGTAGACTTTGAGTCTAAACTTATGCAAGCTTTTGCACACAATGTTGCCAGTGTCTTTTACTATTTATTTTTGAAGTTTATATATATTTGTTTGGGAAGGAAGTTTGATATCTTGTACTCATAGGTCATGGAGAAGCTTGTAGACATTGTTCATTTCTTGCACTTGGAGATTCATGAAGCCTTTGGCAGTGCTGGTAAAATTATCGAACTCAAAATATTTGGAAATGGATTTGGTGAAATATTTAGGTGCACTTGTTTATAAAATTGAGCAAAAAATGTGACTTGTGCAAATTGTTGAAATTTGAATCAAGTATAATTTCTTGTGCTTAATTGGAATTCCTAATTTCCTCGTATATTGAGAATGGATAAAAAATGCTCAATCTTAATCACCATTAAAATTTAGATCCTTGCATTAGGTTATTTGCAGTTGTTGATTTCATCTATTAAAAGATGACATACATAACTTTATGCCTCATGCACATGTTCTGTCATGCTTAAACCTATAATCCGCTTAGAAACACAGTATTAGCTATTTGTTCAATTTATCAAATAGTGTTGGTTTTTGCCTGTGACCTTGCAGATGGTGATAAACCCGTTAAAAGTTCTGTCAGCGGTCATAAAAAGTTGGGGTCTGCTGGTCTTGCGTTGCATTATGCAAATATCATTTCTCAAATTGATACTCTTGTAAGTTTATGATTTTCTGCCAAAGTGGATTTTTTAACCTCTTTTCTTTATCTGCTTTTCTTTGTGGTGGTATATTTCTGGAATACAATTAGAACAGATGACAGAATTCATCTCTTGGTAGTCCATTTGAGTTGATAGATCATCTTAGAGATTAAGGATGGTGGATATTTTGTTGTACAATCTTGATAATACACCACAAGCATTCATACTTTTTCTGTTATCCTTTTAAACTTATCATAATTGAGGGGTGACTGGAAATTTAGAAGAAAGTTTCAAAGAAAAAAAAAAAGAAGAAAAATAATAGTATTGTGATTCATGGAATGAATAAAATTAAGGAAATAACCCCAAATGATATAATGCTTTGGAGGAACTGGAGAAGAGTCAGCTGCAGACCTAATTAATTCATTCACGAAACTTGATAAAAGCTTTGTAAGTGTTTTAGTGGTCTTATCCTACCTTGATTTAGAGCTTTTCGGGGGCCTTACGTTCGGATTGCGCATATAGCCAATTTGCAGGGGCAGAGTGTCCCTTCGATATTGGGGGGCAAAATTTTTAAAATTTTTTATATATTATATATCTTTTTCAGTGACAACTTAAAAATAGTTTTTTATTGAATAATTAATATAAATAAAAAATAATAAAATGACCTTACCAGGTGTATTCAATTTTACTCAAACTCTTAAATTTTTCCCTAACTCTTTAAATATCTCCACACCGCTTTTTCTTTCTTTCTATTCACTCTCTTCTTTTTTGTCCTTTCAATGTGAAATTACAAGGAAGTAAAGTTTTTTTTCCAATTTTTTTTATATTATTATTATTTTTTTATTTTTTTCAATTCTATTTTATTTGTTCATATGTTTTAAATTTCTATAGATTTTCTTTTCCACATTTCTATGAACCATCAACTATTTTTTTCTTTAATGTGGATTCAGTCTTTTTTTTTTCTGTTATGTGGATTTATTTTCAATGATTTTAGTCTTTAAAAATTAAAAAATTATTATGTAACTCTCAAATATAAGTTCTAGCGTTGCATTATTGGTTGTTGTTTAAAATTTCACCGATATATCATTTTTTATCAATCCTAATTATATAAGAACAAATTATCTTGGGTATATCTTTTTAATGTGCTTTACATTTTATATTTAATTGAAAAGAAATTGTCTTGAGTATTTAATCTGTAAACAATCTTGATTATATAAAAGGAAATTATTAATTTTGTATATTGTATTTAGCTATTTATAATTTATGTGTTATAGTTTAATAGTTAGTATTTTAAGTTTAAATAGAATAAAATAAGAATATTGGATGTTGATTGTATTAATTTTTTAATCGTTTATATTGAGAAAGACAAAATTCTAGAACAAAATGGATAATGAGTTTCCTACAGATAATTTAGTTGTTTATATTGAGAAAGACATTGTCATTGTTGAACAAAACTTTCGTTGATGATTATTTTAAATCTTTTTCTTTTTGTTTTTTTTATATACATGTTATATAAAATTATTATCCATTATGAATCTTTTGATTGTTAATAATTAAGTGCCATATATTAGTTTTAAAAATTTTTAGCCTTTATTCCTCTTCGTCTTTGGCGTCTCAATAAAAGTTGGCTAGTTCTACCCTTGCCAATTTGTTTTAGGTTCATGCTGTAACACAACCTAACTAACACCAAAGAAAATCATGGACTACATTTCCTGGCACTATTGCAATGAAAATAAGAGATAATTAACCGTTTCCCGTCACCACTGCTGTACATATAACAACTAAAACTACTTTCCTCTTATACAATATTTCACATGTAAAGATACATGACATTTAAGAAGATATGTTACCGGTGGTTTACTTCCAGAAATGACTACCATATGTCTTCGATGTATTTTGATGATTTTAAACCTGTTGAAGGAGGCTTTTGATCTGGAATTTCTGAAGTCTATATTGTAGGTAGCTACTGTGAAAAGTAGTTCTGTTGCTACCATAAGCGTTGCTAATTATACAGGTTTTACCATATTCAGGTTCTGCTTGTATTTGGACATCTTTCCACTTTAAGTTATCTTTGAATGGCCTAATTATTTGGCAGCAGTCTAGCTTTCAAGTGAACAGACCTACATTTCTCATCTAGTACCATATGCTTCATGGTCCCTAAATTAATATTGATGTCTAGCAGGAGTCAACTTGAAACCTAAAGAAGTCGGATAATTTTGTATGTGTTGACTATTATATGGAATGGAGAGTTTGTTGTGATTTTAACCTTACTGGCCTATTTATATGTGGAGGTTGGCTGTTTTTTTCTTCTGAGTCTGATAATTTATAAGGCATATGATAAATATGGACCAACTAATATTTTGTGTGACAATCTGTGGGCAGAACAATAATGTAACAGGCTATAGAATCAATGCTCAGTTATTCTATTTCTGTTTGGTGAAGTTGTTCTCTTTATTGCATTTGAAACTTGCTATTTAATGAGGAAAATTTTAATAATAATGAGTGTGCTAGGGAATAATTAATGGTAACCTTTTGTTAGAATGGCTGGGAAAGATCACGATACCACTATTAAGGGGAT